GAGTTTTGACGTGTTTCCATTGAACGATTGGTTTTATATTCTTTGTTGAAACTTTCACTGTAATTAGGTTGTTGGGATCGCGTCCACTTCCTTTGTACCATTTGTTGACTGAGGGGGTTCAGGGAGAAATTATAGTTGTAATAAAAGCCCTTATACATAGGTGAAGAGATTTTCGCCTTGGGGTACTTCATCCGTCGGCTTGACTTTAATTATTTTCCCTAATTTTTCTTTTGCATGGTTTCCACAATTTACAGGTCAAATATTTAGGCCAGAAATTTTCTGCAAGCACTTTATCTAGTACGAACGGCAGCGCAGCAGAGGGAATTTGCACCTTAGCTGATAATGTTCACGGCCTCTTCCTTGGAAAGATTGTGATATAAGTTGTATTAATATATTAATACCTCTCCTTTCAAGATAAGAACGAATATCTTTCTCACTTACACTACTGTCAATTCCGGTTAAGAATAACCTTTTCGTTCTGCTATGTCTACGTGCTACTGTACGCGGCCAACAAAACGATCATCACCATTATCATTGGTTATTTTATTACCGTTTTCTTGTAAATTTCTACCGCTTCATTGGTTTCATTTTCATTGATCTTCGTGGTCTTATTGTTCATGACTGGGGTGAGTGTAACAAATTTGGCATATATTAACTGGTTTACTTTTTCAGTCTCATCATTCATTACAGTAAATTCATTTACAGTTTCAAATTTATTTTCAGGAATTAATGCACAAGCACGGCTTTGAGGGTTAGAAAACTCATCACACAAGCTAATATTATCGCCTTCCCTGTTTGTTATCACTAGTGATTCCAATGTGGCATTCGTATGCAAACCATTCTGACTCAAATTGTTGACATTACATTCAGAGGCTTCGCTTTTTGGCGATTTCAGTAAATTAACAGAATGTCTACTGTTCTTAACCATGGAGTCTTGAAGATTCGACATTACGTCCGCCATATGCAAGACTGCATTCGACACAGTTCGTAGCTACTAACTCGCTATTAATAAGCTGATCCTCTTCTGGACTCTAAATCTCATCATAGATGCTACAATTTTTTGTATTGGTAGGCAGTTCACTACAGCAACCGCCAGAAAATTTGTTCTTTTGAACGTGCTCGTTCAACAAGTTGTCATCGGCAATACTATTTGTCTGAGAAGCTCGCTGAGACAAAGTAGAAACTAGCTTAGATTCCATAGATTTTGCATTAATACCATTGAAATGTAATAGTTTTTTCTCGCTCCACCAGACAATCCTCGGTAGATTATCACAATAAAAGACTTTCTTATCACCACCAGGAAAATCCCATTCGCCATCCAACTGTAAAAACTCAGTTGTCATACATTTGACAGACGAATAATCGCCAGTCCATGCTATCTTCAACCTTTTTTCAATGATCGATATATCATATTTGTTGTTTTAATTAGAATTAAGCGACATAATGCTTTCATCAGTTGAAGAATTCGTTGTGGAGATCTTGGAAATGTACGGAGCAGAATCACACCAGAAGACTATACAATATAGTTCCGGTCTTATTCTTGGACAATGTTTTGTATGGATTTTTAAAAGGAAATGGCAGTAGAAAACCTTTCTGTTTTGTTGAAAAGAAAATTTACACTCCTTACTTCGCAAGATATTGGCGATCAAAAACATCAGCTTTTGAGATATATCCGCCATCTTGTTTTACAATGAGATCTAATTACGTGACGTCAAAAGTAGGGTTGACGCTTAAAAAATAACAACTACGTGTTTACGCTTTAGTTTAGAACTCTTACAATTCAAACGTTATAATTTGAGACACGTGTGATTGTAGTACCATGAAACTCATCGCTTCACTGCATCGTTAATCTGAAGTTGCAAAACGAATTTTCACCCAGCTTATGACATCATGCATATCAGACCAAGAATATGCATATCCAAAATGGCGGATGGAAGATAATTTCATTCGAAAATATCTTGAGAAGTAATACAGTTAAAAATATTTTTAAACGAATTTTTTAAATAATCATGACTTTCTTTTAAAATAGAGAAAGATAATTTTCATTGCCGTTTCCCTTTAAGTTGGAATATATATTTTTTCATAAAATATACAAAATTCAATATAAATTACCATTGCTTGGATAGCCCGAACCCTCCGTACCCAATTCCAATGTACATTGTTTCGTAAAGATGTGTAGATTTGATAGGAAAACAAGACCAGCCACCTAAATGAGGGACAGTTTTGTATTAGAATAATGTCTGTATTAGAGAGATGTCTACATACATTAGAGAGATGTCTGCATTAGAGAGATGTCTGCATTAGAGAGATGTCTGCATTAAAGGGATGTCTGCATTAGAGAGATGTCTGCATTAGAGAGATGTCTGCATTAGAGTGTTGTCTGCATTAGAGAGATGTCTGCATTAGACAGATGTTTGCATTAGAGAGATGTCTGCATTAGAGAGGTGTCTTTATTAGAGAGATGTCTGGATTAGAGGAATGTCTGTATTAGGAGAGAGATGTTTGCATTAGAGAGATGTCTGCATTAGAGAGATGTCTGCATAAGAGAGAGATGTTTGCATTAGAGGGATGTCTGCATTAGCAGAGAGATGTTTGCATTAGAGAGATATCTGCATTAGAGAGATGTCTGCATAAGAGAGAGATGTTTGCATTAGAGAGATGTCTGTATTAGAAGAGAGATGTCTGTATTAGAGAGATGTCTGCATTAGAGAGATGTCTGCATAAGAGAGAGATGTCTGCATTAGAGAGATGTCTGCATAAGAGAGAGATGTCTGCATAAGAGAGATATGTTTGTATTAGAGGGATGTCTGCATTAGGAGAGAGATGTTTGCATTAGAGAGAGGTGTCTGTATTAGCGAGGTTTCTGAGATGTGTTTTGGACGATTCCTCTTAGAGGGTAAATCTATAGAATTAGATTTAATAAGATACATCAAAGGCCGCAGAGACGTCTTTGCAGTCTTCCCACAACGGCGCAATACCACGTTTTCTTCTCCCCCAGTGTTCCCAATAGTTGCACTTTGGGTTAGAAGACCATGTTTTGCTTCGATGCTCCTGTAGATATGGACGGACCTGAAACAGAATAACAATACTATACAGTCATATACAAAATATCTACTAAGAGAGTTATTTAAATACTTCATGCTACCGTGTTTTGCTGCCAATTTTACAATAGTTTCAATGGTACCGTAGAGTAATCTCACTGTTTACCTTATCCTTTGTTAACTTGTTCTCAGATTTCAAAATGTGAATGCTTTTGTCCAGGGCCACGTACGCCACACGTGATCCGGGCGAAGCCTTCAATATTAGCTTCGCTTTTTCTCCCGGATTTAGTTCATTCTCCGCAAAACTCACCGACACCTTCAAAAGTGCGATCATTGAAAAATTATACGTTGAAGTTTATACCTTAAAGTGATCTGATGTTGTACAGAACTCATGTGAGTAAAGTCAAGACTCTCCTATGTTCTCTCTCAGTTGACTGAGTTGAGCATGGTTAGATCATGCAGAGGTAGCCCATGTCCTTTAATGTGAACTATATTTAAAAGGGAGTCTCTGCGTAAAAGCGGACCACTGGATCTGAGCTTGAAAAATAGATTTCTTTTATATTTTTACCGTCGATACTGTTATCTATCCGGACTAAAAAAGTTTATCTATGTATATTTGACCGCCATTTATCTACATATATTTGACCGCTATTTTATTTTTATTATCATTTGTTACCTAGCAGTAAGTTTAGAGTTGGTTAAAGCCAAATATAACTTCTAATAAATTATATTCATTAACAATGGTTACGACAATTTAACCAACTTAATAACATTTATTCATTAAAATGGATACTTTGCTGAAACCTGTTCGTTTGGACTTCGATCCTAACTTTCCATCTGCAGCTAAGGAATGGAGGCATTGGCATAAAACATTTTCGTGTGGCAGCAATGCTTCGGATAAGTATAGAACTCAGTTAATTATGTATCCCATAATGTGTATGAATATATTGAGGTCTGTGAAGATTAAATAAATTGTTTATTAAAACGCCAAACGAAATTTTTGTACGACACTTGCTCGCAACAAGGAAACAAAAGCCAGCCGAAATGCTTGTTGAATTTATTCAAGAGCTTTGTAGAGTAAGTAAAGATTGTAATCTTAAGAGTGTTACTGCCGAACAGTTTAGCGAGTATTACTGTCTTCTGCATTAATTCGTCAGTGACTTTTGGAGAACAGTAAACTAGATTGAACATTTAGTCTGAGCATGGTAAAAAATCTTGTCATTAAATCGCTTTGTCTTTGTGTTCAGTTTCTCGCTTTAATTTATTCATTTGCCCACCCTTGCAAGAGATTAGTCACGCCAAAAGCAACGATGCATTTAATCCACTGCGCGCAACGAAATATACGTCAGCTCTATAGGGACCGTGCGTTGCTCCCAGTATGCGTTATTTTTAGCGAAACTTCGACAGTTTAATGAGTTTATTAAAAACCTTTACTACTTTTAGACGGTTAAACAAAATCTCAATTTCAGCTTCACATTTTTGCGCGCAAACTGGAAGCCCTCTCAATATCAGTGGATAGGAACACCCCTCCCGGAACATAATTTTGTTAATGCAAAAACAAACTTGCCCTAGGTATACCAGATAAGTCTTAACTATGCCTAGGAACACAAAAAGTTTCTAAATTTTGCAAATTATCCTGAAAAACGAGAATTTTACATTCGCGACATTTTTTTGATGCACCCTGTATAGGCACTGCTCGCATTTAAGAGACATGTGGTCATTATGATCTAATTTAGTCTAATTTATGACGTAATAATTCTAATAAATTTCGAGGTGACTATTGATTTTCCTGCATTCTGATTGGTCAAAATTCACTGTCTCTGAAGTTATAGTCACTGGTCAGTGACTACAGTTTTTTGTTGTTGTTTTTCAAATTTTACGTAATTATAAATTTTTATGAAATTATGTTGATTATTATTTGTAACACAATACACTAAAGCAATTAGTCGCCTTAGGCTCGGCGATTAAAAGCCTATATTAACTTCTGCTTCGATTCAGTGAATATGGGCTTGTAATCAGCTCGCATTCTGCGTGGTAAATTTGTATAGTGGAAATTATGGAGATTAAATTATAGTGCATGGTATGAATAATGTAACAGTTTGCAAAGTGTCTACTGTTAGTTATGAAAAGTACGCTTTTTATTTGCATTGAAAACAATAGAAATAAAACATTACAAATTGATACAGCGAGATATACTAAGGGTACGTGCTGCAAAACAATAATCGTTTACAATTGGTATGAATATCCTGTGGTTACTTTAATTTCCTCTTTTTCGAGCGGTGCGCTTGCAAGCAAAAAGTTGTTTCTTGATTTGACGCATCATCGCCCTTCCAGTATACCTATAGATTGACGTCTCAGAATTCAGCACAACCGTAATCTTACGGCCGTCATCTTGGAAGTAATTGTTTCGACCAATCACAATGGATTGTTCCCTGTCGTAGATCTCATCACATGGACAGAATTCTGGAATGTGATACTCCAGCTCTTTTTTCATAATACGCCTCCCTTTCTCCTTCGAGTCCTTGGAATATGCTTTGACAACTCTGAGCATGCCTCGTGAGGATTTCATTCTTGTCACTGAGAAACGGAATAGAAAAAAAAATATTACCCAAAAATAAGTGATAATGCTCATTATTCAAATATTTTTAGTATATAATTTTTTTACTAAAGAATAATTCTTTTTAGTGTATTAAAAAAGGTGATTATTACACTTTTTAGAACGCTTTTCAACTTTCTTTTGCGAAAACGTTGTTTCATTTCAATCGCCGTAAAATGTCGGGATATTTGTTTACATTTGCAAAACATGTATTTTCTACAGTAGATTCGTTTTTTAAAAAAATCACCTTTTAATTATAATAAAACAATTATTCACCTCAGACTCAGTTAATATCTCCAAATAGAGCTCACAATTTCGTCCCGGTTTTTATTGAGCGATATTCACCTTCGGTGAATATTTGTTAATTAACTTGTGGGCCGGGTAGGAAGGACAAGGTTTGAAAACTTGCTAGCAGAAAAAGGCGATGTCAACTCACCGGTACTGTTACACTCAATTATAGCATCCAGAATCTCCAAAGTCACACATCTTGGGCACTCAGCGCCAACTGAAAAATAAATGACAGCCAATACATCGAGCTGACTCCATTAAACGGAGGGTGAAGTATAGAATTGCCACTGGTGGATTTTTCTTCCCATGTGAAATAATATGAAAATTTTGGAAAATATGAAAATTCCCAATATTCAAATTAGGTATTTCGTAAGAAACCATGATCTAGGTTCATGTGTGTATTTTACACACCTCTGTTGCCATAGCATTCCGTCTCACCAATTCTGTACATCACTTTAGCTTGGCGTTCTGTAAAAAAAAGATATTGATTTGAACACACCAACTTAATTAGGATGTTCAAAAATCGAGTGAAGTTGGATAAATAAGTAGACGGTTATCTTGGCAAGCCTAGGCCGTGCATGCAAGTTTCCTTTATTAGAAAACTTGGTATTCATGAATTTTATGCTTTGAAAATATCAGGATAACTCGAAATACCGGGACCGGTTGTATCAAAACCGGATAGCACTATCCATGAGATTGTCGTTTTAACCGTTCTAAGGCCTGAGTCAAAAAGACAAATGTTTCTTCACCTGGTTCATAGTAATCATAGACTTGAACAACAGCAAGTCTCAGTCTCTTGACAAGTGTGTCTTGGTGGATGTCAATGGAGAAAGTAATATTCCTGATCTACATGTAAACACGGAAATATATGTTGGTAGTAGAAGCTAATTATTGGTTCAGTCATATGGAGAAACGACACTAGATCAATAAGAGATAATCCTTGCAAGCTCTTGTATAGAACTGATAGAGGAATCAAGATATAGTAACCTTGAAGATTTACGATAGTTACCTCATCGAAGTAAAGCTGTACGTTCTGTCCATCAATGTCGTAACGTTTGAACTTCAGTGCCGGATCATTCCTTAGCTAAAAAAAGAAATGACGAGATATGGTTACTGTGGTTTCCGAGACATCGTGGCGAATTCACGTATATCGATAGGTTTGGGACGACTGCATTTAAAATTTCTCTGTTTCATACAGAAATTGAAATCTTACATTTTCCAAAGATTCCTCTCTCACACTAAATCCAGTAACTAGTTTAATATCCACCACGGCCATGTTAGAAACATCCTGTTTGAGCAAGCTTAGGTGGAAGAAATTACGTAGAAACATTTACGTAGTTGAATAACCTTCAAAAATACAATTAGTTGAGAGGGATCGGATCGATAGGTGTTTTCGGGTTTGTAGTGGTTGTTTGGAGCTCCGCTTTTTCTCCCATACATTGAGTGTCCTAATCCTAAGTCAAAAACCAGTAACAAAAGGTTTCTAAGCGCCAATTGTGGACCCTTTTGCTGCATAAAATTGAATTTACTACAAGCGAAGCACTTCTTACTTTGTGGTTATTTCCAGCTTTAATGGACTACATTGGGTCGTTTCTTCATCAGGAGCTAAACTTCTCGTACGAACATCAACTTTAATATCAAATGCTGGAACATGTTCCGGTTCAGGGATATTATACTTCACTGACGCCTAAAGAAATGCTTCGTTTATCATTTCCCATAAAAGCCATTGGTTAAAAAGATAAACGATGAGGTCTATTGTTGCTGTTTTTTATACCTGTACCAAAGCACAGCCCACGCCCTGACCCGTTACTTCCAATTTACCGGGAATGATCTTCTGAGGAAGCTCGACAGTTTGTAATGTCAGTTTATTCGCCATTGTTACCACGAAGTTGTGGTTGTAGTGATCACCTATCTTCAAAGATCCCGTTAATTGAATTGAATTAAAATCAGTGCTGTCCCCATAAGCTCGTTTTGCAAACTCGGCTACCGCTTGCAGAGCAACACAAGTGTCCTATAAAAAGAAATTTACAATGTATCAAAATCCTTCCTGTTTTATACTAGAAAAGATCAGGAACAAGATTTTAAGCGTTCTCACTTTAGGCCGAAACTGAAATGTCTAATAATTTCTGGAGTAAGAATGTAAGATCTTTAAGCCATCCATTTTATTGACTTCATTAAAGATCTTACCTGTGTTGAAGAAAATCCACCTCGAGAGTTTCTTTGTCTCGATAACCAGCGAATAATATCCATAATTTCATTATTTACCACGCCTTCATCAATTGGCGTTTGATGTAAAATTGAAAGCAAGGCATATGCTGTCATTTCTACGTCGGCTGATGATTCATGAGGGTAAAATCTTGGATTCTGCGCAGGTTTAATTCCATTAGTCCAGTACATTTGATCCTCTGTAGAGAGGGTTTATAAACGTGTTAATTTTTAGTTAAATATGTCTGTAGGACATCAAAATAATACCTTCATGGTGCTACCTATGCATGATCAAAGCATGCTAAATCAAGTTAACTAAGAGAGAACACAGGAGAGACTTAACTCTACTCACATGAGCTCTGTAGAACATCAGATCATTCTCAGGTGGCCCACAATCAAAACATACTCTTGTTATTTGGCTTACCTTCCTTGGTTGCCTTATTTTTTAATATTCTGAGCATCCTCTGAGCGTCAGTATGGTTTGCTAATGTCAAGGCGTACGTCACAAGGGCAGTTGAATAAGTATCGGTGATCGTGTTAAATCGATTTACGATACACCTGAGAGCTTTGGACACCATGGTGCTCTGAAGAAGAAGAACATTGTATATGCCGTGAATAATAATTGGACGTTTTGAGAAAGAATTTCTTATAAAGGAACAGAAACTTTTTTTTTGTTTGGTTACTAGAATGTTGTTAAGCTTACATTTGTTGTTTCTCCAGCTTCCAAAAGGGCCGTGGTCACATAGGCTGTGATTGTATGTTCGGTGTTCACGCCCCCCTAAAACACGAACAAAAAAGACCATTCAAATGGTTTTCCAGACGACTATGAACAAGCGTTCTTAATCTGATGATGGTCTTTATTTTTTCGAGTGTTGGATTGTCTTAAGTGATCTATCTTACAGGGGATTTCTTTTGGGGAGGTTGACTCCATTTTCTACATTTATCTTAATCCTTAAGTTGGTATCCTCGCGGAAAACGCGTTAGTATCTTAGAAACTTCATGTAGCATTTCATCAATTATATAACTAGACCTTCAAATTACCTGTAGTCTTCTATTAAAAACTTTTCCGTACTGTGGAAAACATCCGTTATCCAATTGTTTGATGCGAAACCATCTGAAACTGCGTTGGACGTCAGCACCATCAACAAAAATGTATCTTTTCGCCCGGGCAAATGATCGAACTACAAACGCGGTCAACCTGAAAAAAAGTAGTGTTCAGGAATCACATGTGTTGTACTTAGGTTGAAAGAATCACCGTAATATTTTTAATATTTTTCATAGGATAATAGTACACACTTACATCATACTTCCTTCACTGTCAGATTCGCCAAACGCACTGTACGAGCCGCTTCTTCTTTTGTAAATCAATTCTCTTTGATAACCTGATGAGATAAATATCAGAGAAAATGTTGTTAAAATGGTTGAAATAATGCCCCACTTTTCAGGAAAAGAAAAAAACCCTGCTACTGTATGCTTTTGCTAATAAATTGGTACAAATCGAAAAACATCCTGCTGTTTCGTACTAACCAACTTTCATAAAGTTTTCAGCTTTACTCTTGATTCCTTCTGTCGCTTGGTTCGTCTGAGTCAAGTAATCCATGATGTAGATATTGGGTGCGAAATTTGCCATATTTTGTTCACCACAGCCATAGGGCATGCGCAGTAGGTCATCTAGGTTCATCATTGCTGGTCCCATGATGTCACCTGCATAAGAGTGGAGGTCACGTGATAGTTTTCAACCACATCTAAAACCCTCTGTGATTCTACTTTAACCTTGAATGTTCAGAAAGGCTCTAAGCATGCCTAAATCAGTCAACTGAGAAAGATCTTTCAACTGAGGGTAAAATACTGGATATTGAATTACCTATAATAGTCACTGTTGGGTATATTGATCCTGGTATGTAATTCGCAGGTACTCTGAGGTTAAACTCTTCCGTGTGTTTCTTGTCTAAAAAAAAGGAATTGTTTTACCAAAGACCAGCAGAGGAGATGAACGACCAAATCAAACTGACGGTCCTTACTTCCCGGACAGAAGAGTGTTCCCTGAGTGAACTCCTTCCGGATACCTTCAGCCTGAAAAGAACAGAATTTCAAGGTTAAATGTAACAACCACTTTCATTTTAATTAGTTTCGATCTTGAAACAACAGCGATTATGAAGACAAACGCAACGAAATTCATTTTTGCGACGTTTTGACATTGTCCGATGTCATTCTCAAGCAAGCGAATTTATTACATTATGGTGCATAAAGCTACATATATATACATAACTAAGACAGTAGCGTTAAAAGAACAAAGATAATAAGGTATTGTTCTACGCAAATTGTTTGGTGCGGACAGAGTCTGATTGTACATTGAGACCTGGTTCACACTTGCTCCTAAGAACCGGAGTTCCATTGTATTACCTTCCGATAGACAAAACATTTGGCGCACCAACGACCTCAGACAAAGGGACAAGTGCGCCCTAATATAGAACAAGTGCGCCCTAATATAGAACATCTTTATTGATTAAGGAATCGAACTTGGTGCTACACTTTTTTATAGCTTTAAAACCACTGGCAGGAGGAGCATGCAGTTGTAAGGCCATGTTCCGAAAAACGATGCTTGCGTCAAAGATTTGATGAGCACAGGTACTCGATCCGCAACCGGCAAGCATCGTTTTCCAGAACATGGCCTTACAACTGCATGCTCCTCCTGCCAGTGGTTTTGAAGCTCTAAAAAATTGTAGTACCAAGTCCCATTGCTTAATCAATGAGATGTTCTGTATATTAGGACACTTGGTTAACCCATCGTTAAATGTACAATAAGACTCTGTCCGCGCAAAACTATTCGTGTAGAACAATACCTTATTATCTTAATTGTTATTTCAACGTTATTGTATCATAACATCTCATTTGCTTGAGAATGACATCGGACGATATCGAAGACCGTTAGACTACGATATACGACAATGTAATTGGCTTTATTATATTGATTTTTGGTTAAAAATAGTGTTATTAATTCCCAAATCGCACTATTTTTTAGCATTAATCACATCATTTATAAGCCAATGAGATTGAAGCTCTGCACCATCAGATTTAGTATTTCAGTGTAACTATCTAATCAAATTACTAGGGAAAATGGCACAAAATTCTATTATTTTGAGTTTTAAATGCCCTGCAAAATTTCTTGACAAAAATAGATAAAAATTACTCACATTTTACACCGTTTACGGTTCTTTCAGCTAATAAATCGTTTTAAATTGGTTTAATTTTTTGTTAGATTTCAAAATAAATATAATAACGTGGAAATTGCATTGCGTGTTGTGCAATTTTGGTGTGAAATCAAACTTGTGATTAAAAATCGTTACATATTTTGCAATCACGCGTTTGATTTCACACCAAATTGCACTCCACTCAGTGCAATTACCATTATTAATCACACGAACGTAGAGATCACATTAATGTGTATGATCAGCAATTTTTGAATGTAGAGATCACACTTGCAGATTATGTTCTTGTCAAGTGTCAATTGCTCTTCAGTTTCTCCGACCTATTATCTATTATTTCTAAATTATTAGTTTTACCTCGACAAGTAGTTTTCGTGTGACAGCATCGTAGACTGGAATTGTGTTATTAGAACAGAGTTTCGCCAATGACGTAGTACTAGTTGCCATGACCGTGAGAGGAATGTGTCCGAGGTTAATAGGAATGATTGTGAACTTCACTGATTTTCCTTCGCTGCCACAAACGCAGAGTTTGTTGATATGATACGATGTCACTTTGTAGTCGGCCTGCTTGTGGTTCAATTCTAATTTTATCTAAGGAAGAAATCCCAGTGCTGTGTGTGAAAAACTGTTTTGCAGGATATAGTTATATGCTATAATATTGTATTCATACCAAGATTAATGAGAGGTATATCCGTTTGTAGTAACCCATTGCTAGTAATAGATATGACATTATTTCATATCACTAATTAATATAACATAAACATGTCAATCAAATCAGAGTTCTTATTGTTACAACACAACATTTAGCGACGAGAAAAAAACGGGAAAAATTCGAAAAAAGATAAAAAGGAGTATGTCAGATACCAAAGCAGCGGAAGCACAGCCAAGTACAAGTACAACTGCTGGGCCTGTAGGAGCAACCACAGAGCTCTATAACCGTAATAAATTGACAACTGAATATTGCACCATTTCAACTGACCAGAGATAGCAACGATACAGCCGTACGCTTGGCGAAATGGAAAAGGACTTATTATATATGGAGGTCAAGAAATCTAGATGACTCTTTACCAGATCCCAATCTCGAAGATGACGAGGGAGAACAAAATGAATATACGCGCTTTATTTACAAGCTCGATCAGTATTTCTTGCCGAAAAAGCAAGCGAACAAACTTGGTACAGCAAGACGGCGAACCGATAGCGAATTATTATGCCCGAATCAGAGAAATCGCGAAAAAGTGTAGCTATACCGATGAAAACGATGCGATACGAGACCATTAATTTTGATCAAAACAATGAGGAACAACGCGATTCGTGTCAAAGCTATTCGTAAAAACTGGTCACTACAAGAAGTTCTCGACGAAGAAGCAATCACCGAACCAGCTCAACTATACAAGCGAAAGAAACCAAGCAGAAACTAGAAGCTACAGAAACGAGCCAAAGAGTAAAATTTGCTATAAGCAAGATCAATGTCAACGGTGTGGGCGCGTATACACGAGAAAGGCAAATGTCTCGCATACGGAGCGAAATGTCGAAAGTGTGAAAAACAAAATCATTTTGCAATCGTCTGTAAATCACGTCCATCACGAGTTCCCGAAGAAAACAAAACGAAGAGAAGAGAAAATCATCAGTATCGACGTCATAATAAACCATGGAAAAGAGAGACGCGAAACCGCCCTTACGTTGATAAACCAGATAACGGAGAACCATACATAAGACACATCGAAACAAAAGAGAACTCGACGGATTCCAGTTCCAATGACAGCTCGTACGACCAAGACTTTATACAACACCTTCTCAATAAACAAACAAATCGGGTGAACAGAAAAAAACAATCTAAATTTTGCACGGTGACAATTAACAATGTACCAACAGAAATTGAACTAGATAAAGAATCTGACGCCAACATAATGGTTGAAGAGCAATTTCGGCGACTTCAGAGAATGAGACCCGAAATTCAGCTGAAGAAATCCAGAACAAGCTTCAAGCACTTTTGCAAGACATCCCAGTGTTAGGAGAATGCTCGGTGACAATCAGAAACCAAACGAGGCAGACGCAAACACGCATCATTATTATCAAAGGAAAAAGTGGACTTTTTATCACCGATCGAAAGACCCACCTTATCCAACTTGCATGGGCATGGTTAATGACGAGACTAGAAACCTAGACGAGGCGGTGAAGGGAACCACCACTACATACCTCAGAAGCCAAGACGAGTGCCATACCATTTACTAGAGCCTTTAGAAGATCGCATAAGGGAGTTAATCAAAAATCACATTGTAGAGAAAGTCCCTGAACAAGAAGAAATCGAGTGGTGTTCACCCCTCGTGGTATAGACGAAACCGAAGAATCCCAAGGACATTCGAGTTAGCCTCGACCTCCGAATTTTAAATCAGTCCATGGCAAGAACAACACACGTACAAACACCCATCACCGTTGCAGAGTTTTGATAAAATCGATCTCAACCATGGTTATCATCAATTTGCACTTGATGAAGAACCTGAAGAATCTTTGTACTAGATGAAGAATCGCGAGGATGACAGCGATGCCGCAACAACTATGGGAAGTCGTTGAACTTTACTTCTGCGAACCATTCCCTAACGGAGAATACGCAATGGTACTAATATAGACCCGTTTTCGCGCTTTTCGAAAGTAGAACTCGCTCGATCGATTGCAACTGGACCGGTCAGAGAGAGAGATCGAAGAAAATATTCGCAACACATGGAATCCCAAAAGCAGTGCAGACGGACAATGGCCCACCATTTAACCCCGATGAATTTAAGTTGCTTGCCACAGAGAACGGATTCACCCATAAACCCGTGACGCCTTACCATCCAAATGATCGCTGCGATTGCAAAACAAGACCATATCAACCCTCATGAAGCAACATATGACATGCTACAAGCATATCGAGGTACACCACATCCGGCGACAAAACGTACACAATACGAGTTGTTACTGAACTGACAAGTCAGAACAAAGCTGGATCACTTTCCCACGGAAACATCATCCAATGATGACGTTGTGAGACGGAATGACCAGCGAGACAAAGCAAAGAGAAACCACGACAGACAACATCGATCGAAGGAACACAGAGTAAAGACCGGAGACGCAGTAATCGTTAAACGAGAAACAAAGAAGAAAGGAGAAACTCCGAAATGAACCATATGTATATGTGATAACAAAAATCAAAAGATCGATGGTAACAGCGAAAAAAATGAATGATCAGAAAACGAAATGCTGAGACATATCTCGTTTCAAACTGCTAAAGACAGACAACCACCCGGAAGAGAATCGACGAAACCCTGAAACCGTAGTACCACCACCAGCCGAAGGAGACACACCTATTCGCCAACAAGAACCCTTAAATGCCGAAACAGAAAATGAAAGACAACCTCGAATCAAGAGACAAGAAGAAGCACAAGGACTGTGAAGATCAACACGACAGAAAAAGTCGACATTTGAAACACATTTAAAAGAGTATACCACATAAGATAAGTAATTAAATGAATAGAAAGAAAATATTCTGGAAATACTCGGTTGATATTAGGATTATACTGTATAGAGAGGACTAAAAAAACATTATTAAGTCGACACGGCGCGTAAAAATAAGCGCATGTGTGACTTGTGTATCTCATTCGAAAATGATAGTAATATGTATGTAGCATCTTGAGAAATTCGGACTTGATGGCCTAAGGATATGCTATGCTTAACCAAAACCAGTATTTGGCTGGGAAAACGCTGTTAAAATTAGATGACTCTTATCACCGTCTTTGATCAAAGAAACTTTCGGTAGTTAAGCCATTGTTTTTAGTTTTTATTTTGTACACATTTAAATAATGTATACAGTAGTCACGGTAATTACCGTATTTCGAATTTTATTCATATCATACTGTGCCTTACATGTAAAACAATTGAAGTTCCGATATTGTGAAACTAAGCTATTTCAGTTAACCATCGCATGTATGTTCATTCCCTGCACTTCATTCCTTGTCGGCGACAACACAGCATTCAAACTGTATCGAAGTCCTGCAACGCGTTCCGGACGCGTTCAAGGACGCGTTCGGAAGGCGTGCTGGAACGCGATTGGAAGGCGTTCTGGAACGCGTTCGGAACGCGTTTTTGATTAGGTTATTTCTGAGCAGTACTGTACCCTGATTGGTTTAGTGTATTCACTAGAGATGGTATAAAGTCGCTAATTGGTAGCTTTTCTATAGGACTGTAGAGGGTGTGTCAAAGTTTCAAGTTTTTCTCTACGTAAAACTTACCGCTGCGCAATTTGGCCGATAATTAAACACAGTTACGATGACTGGAATCTCTTCTCCTCGGATGACGGAGTATGGTAGCGTCATTGAAACAAAGAACGGTTGAAAAGCTCTAAGTGTCGACGTTTCTGAAACTCCGATACCTGTCTTCGACGAAATAGCGAAACCATTTGCCACCCAACTTGTGATTGTACCTGGCACAGTTACTTCAATTGTCTTGTTGCCTGATTCACTAAAGAGGATGAAATGAATTTGTAAAATTGCGAAAAGATCTCTCCATATTAAAACAATGCTGAAAGGATCAGCTCCACATTAGAACAATTATGAAGGATCAGCTCCACATTAGAACAATTATGAAGGATCAGCCCCACATTAAAACAATGATGAAAGGATGAGCTCCACATTATATTAAATTTGGCGGGAATTGCAGTGCATTTTGCGGGCTAAAATGATAAATTTGCTGGGCTGAGATATATTTTCCCCGAGCCGGTGCGGAGCACCATGCGAGGGTACTAATTCGGCTCGGATATTTACACCCACGATGTGCAAAGGCGAAATCAAAGTTGTCCGCCATTATGCAATGGACCTCACGCCATGGACGGTCTTCTACGTTATGCGCATGCGCCAGTGTAAACTACTAAGCTCTTGATTGGTCGAGACAAATATTTGTATTTTTAAACCTGCATATATAACTGTCATTTCGCAAAATTTTGAAGAAACTTATAAATATATTTTCATATTATTTATATTTTCATAAATATGGAATATATATATATTTTTAATTAGTAATTACATTAGAGGGAAACTCAAATGTGGTCAGGACTTTTTACGGTTTAACAAAAAAAGACTAAATTTTCGACCAAATTCACCGTGTATAATGAAGTCGGAAACTTTTTTTTGATTTTACACTTGAAAATAAGACCCGGCACAGGTATAGAAAGTCATTCTTTTGTGGTAAACACAACTTTAGTATTCTCAAACGTATTTCACTACAAATCTGAATGTGTTATGTGACAGACGACATTATAATTTCATTTATAAACTCCGTTTTTTTCAAAATATTCGCGTGCAAAAACCAGTCGAAGCGTAAACATAAAACTTCGGAAGTCGTATGAGACGTCTGATGTTATATTTCATGGTAATTAATAATTAAAATAATTTACCATAACAGTGACTATAGATGAGTAACCTAACTTCCAGAAAATGGTTAGAATCTTGTCGTATTTTTGCCATTTTTTTTCACAAAAATATGAGGGTAAACTTTGATTCTTTGAAAATATACGGCCGTTGCAGTGTTGGTTGCGAGTTGCTATGACTACAGTGCTTCCGCTTCCAGAAATATATTTCCATACTTCTCTTTTCACATACCAACAATACCAAGTACCCTCCAAACACCCCAACCCACAAAAAATTTTCCAACTATCATGTCACCATCCCTATGCTTAACTAATTTCGCTTAACCGAGGCGAGGGGTTGCTGCATGCATGTCTTTCTAGTAGCCCGCTGATCTAAGCCACTGAGAAGAATGACCGAAGTGTTTATCTTCGAGCCGGTGCGGAGCACCGTGCGAGAGCACTAATTCCGCTCGGATATTTACACCCAGGATATGCAAAGGCGAAATCAAAGTTGTCCGCCATTATGCAATGGACCTCACGCCATGGACGGTCTTCCACGTTATGCGCATGCGCCAGTGTAAACTACTTAGCTCTTGATTAGTCAAGACAAATATTTGTATTTTTAAACCTCCAAAACTGTCATTTCGCAAAATTTTGAAGAAACTTATAAAGTATATTTTCATATTATTTATATTTTCATAAATATGGAATACATACATATATATATATATATATATATATATATATATATATATATATATATATATATATATATATATATATATATATATATTTTATTACTTTGGACGGAAATTCGAACTTTTGATGATGAACAGGACTTTTGACGATTTAACAAAAAAAAGACTAAATTTTCGATCGATTTCAACGTGTATAATGAAGTCGGAAGACTTTACACTTGAAAATAAGACCTGACACAGGTATAAAAAGTCATTCTTCTGTGGTAAACACAACTTTAGTATTCTCAAACGTATATCACGATGTGTTATGTGATTGACGACATTATAATTTCATTTATAAACTCAGTTTTTTCAAAATATTCGCGTGCAAAAATCAGTCGAGGCGTAAACATAAAAGTTCAGAAGTCGTATGGGACTTCGGATGTTATATTTCATGGTAATTAATAATTAAAATAATTTACCATAACACTGACTATAGATGAGTAACTTAACTTCCAGAAAATGGTTAGAATCTTGTCGTATTTTTGCCTTTTTTTCACAAAAATATGAGGGTAAACTTTGATTCTTTGAAAATATACGGCCGTTGGGATTTTGGTTGCGAGTCGCTATGACTACAGTGCTTCCGCTTCCAGAAAAATATACCAAGTACCCTCCAAACACCCCAACCCACACAAAATTTACCAACTATCATGTCACCATCCCTATGCTTAACTAATTTCACTTAACCTAGGCGAGGGGTTGGTGCATGCATGTATTTCTAGTCTATTGCATAATTTTTATACAAAAATTGCCCTTTAAAGTTAATATAATAGTAAAACAGTTGATGTTCGCGGACATAAATGTGTTTTTGGCCCGCCTCAGAACACATTTTAACCCTCGCTAATCGCTAAAACGGTTGGGCGAATATGACTTCAGAGTCGGGCCAAAAACACATTTATGCGCGCGAACATCAACTCTATTCTTACATTAGAACAATTAATTATGAAAGGACCAGCTTCACATTACAACAATTATGAAAGCACCAGCTCCACATTGGACAATTATCATACGAAATACGATTGATTAGAACTATAATCTCCGTGCAAATCTTACTCGAGTTTTTCATCCGACCATAACCATGTCTCTGGGAAATCTTTGCGAATTTTGACCGCCTTTTGCTTCGCTGGTATTCTTTCATTCTTTATCTCAGCTTGTTCAGGAACTTCGTAGTCACTTCGCTCAACTGGTGGTGAAGGAGGGTAGTCTTTAATATTCAAGCAAAAAAACATAGTAAGTGCTTCGATATTTCTTATTAGTATCTCTACGAATTCCACCATGGTACAAGAGTAGCCCAAAATTAATCTTTAAAGGTCTGGACCGGTTACGCGAAAGCTGGATAACGCTATCCACCGAAAATAAGACTTATTTCAATCAATCTAAAATTGCCCATTGTTTGATATAACCTGGATTAAAAATCGTCGGACAGAACTGAATATATGAATAAACACCCCTAATTATCGTTTTAGTTTCGGCCCTGTCAACATGCATTGAATGGGGTAAAGGAGGGAGCTTGAACAACTGATAGTTGCTTTATAGCTAAAGTTTAGAGCCATTTCCGCTCTCAATTACAAGTGTCCCAACTACGTTTGATAAACTAATACCTGCCCAAAATACATGCTCGGAATCTAAGAGTAGAACCGAAGCGTCGATTCGTTGTGCGTGGCAAAGGTTTGTTGCGAATTTTTAAATGGGAAATAAATCGCCCATCAACAAGAGATTATTATTTTTATTATTATTATCAATTGAATCTCAAACAATTGGTTTTTTAGACCAATTTACAAGAATTTTGTTTCTAATGTTATATCTAAGAATATTATCTAAACTATACTAGAAATATTTACAATTAATGTTGTGTGTACATTGTTAAGAATTTAAAAAATATTCAAGAAAATAGTCAAATAGTTTACTTTTAAAAATTTTTAAGATTGTCAATTTCAATTATGGTATTTGGCAAGGAGTTCCATAATGATACTGCTCGATATTCAAATGATCGTTGTCCTGTAGCAGATCTATAGCACGTTCCTAGTATTTCTTTCATGTACTGATGATCTTTTTTAAAATAGTCCAGGAAGATAATCAGGCATGGCCAGAAATTGCGGACATGGAATATGCAGATTGCCGTAGCAAATTTTCATATCTGTCCAAATATTATTTGTTTGCAGAACTATACGTATTGCGCATTCTTGAATTTCGGGAAATTTGAGAAAATCATTGCATCTTTGCTATTTGCCCCGTTTGTTTCTTGTAATTCGTGTCATATTAAAGATCCTGAAGTAATATTTTGCTGGTAAAGGTTTATGTCGTCTCTGCATTTTTATTTTATTTCTACGCTATTACGGTTTTCGTTTTATATGGTATTCAACGTGATAAATGACCAAAACTTTGTTTTGAAAATGCAGGACGAATACTGATAAAACATTTTAAAATACTGCCTCAAAATATTAAGATTAACTTTCTCTGCAACGAGCGATTAAGGCAAATTATAATCGACCACCTAAAGCTGTATTTATAGCGTTTAGTACTGTGCGCATTACAGTTTACTATAAACTCACGAAGCTTTATTTTGACACCATATGCAAATTTAGGCGGAAGTAGAATTTTAATTATGTCCGAATTTTCTGGCCATGAAGATGTCCATTTAGACACTTGAAAGTCAAAATGCCAATAAAGTATTGCAACATGCTAGCAACAGGTAACCAGTTTAATTGTTTGAGTACTTGTGAGATAGGAGCATATTTTCTTCTCCCTGTCATCATTCTCGCCGCAAAATTTTGAACTCTTTGCAGCTTCTCAATATTTTTCTTTGTAGTACTAGACCATACAGTTGAACAGTAATACAGTTTTGAAAATACTAAGGATGAGATGATACTTTCCAAAGTCTTGAAAAAGCATTTAATATATGTTCCTCAAAACTTAGTGTTCAGTTTAATTGTATACCAATATCTCTTGCTGAAACAATTGGAGTAATCCTTTTTCCAAGCAGAATTACATGAATGTTTTCCGGTAGTCTTTGTAACATTTTGCGAGTTCCTAATACAAGGATTTATTAGTAAACTATTATGACTGCACCAGGCTGCTATATTTGCCAGGTCTTCATTAATTTTTAACATTGCTTCGCCAGTGTTTAAAAGAGAAACGAGGGATATAATTTTGAGTGATTCACATACGAATTCAATTCAGCAAAAACCGGAACTTCAGGCAGCTCGTTTAAATAAATGTTGAACAGACTTGCTCCCAATACTGAACCCTGTGGTACTCCAGGAGTAATATAGCCTTGTTGTGACACCACTGAACCTATCCTTACTCTCTCTTCCCTTCCAGTCAAGTAGCTTCTAAACCATTCCCAAGTATCAAAACTAAGACCGAGAGTTTGTAGCTTGGTTAAAAGTTTTCAGTGGTCTATACTATCAAATGCTTTTGAAAGATCTAATAACACCATAATTGTGAGTTGTTTCGAGTCCATTGCTCTAATCACTTTATCACTTTATTGCTTTAATCACTGGCTCATTGCTTCAATCACTTTATAATCACAATCACCATTTTCACAGGTGCATGTATTATAATATATATACATATATATATATATATATATATATATATATATATATATATATATATATATATATATATATATATATATTTCTAGCACGTCAAGAAACTTTTTATTAAATTCATTTATAATATCATTCACGTTATCTTTAAGGAAGATTTCTTGCCAAGCATGGTGGTACTTGATATAAGTCTTCCAAGAAACAATTAGTCATATAGTTCTTATAAGATCTCACGCATATATGACTAGCTGGAAGTTTCAAGCATGCGTAAATTAGATAACGATCACTGATGTGAGATAAAACCACTCCCCAGTCTTCCACTAAAAGCTCATGTTAGATGTCATAGTAATATCAATAAGAGATGATGATTTTTCTGTTACACGAGTAGGCTCCTCTATCAGATGAGTAGATTTACACTCGTGCAAAGGTGAAGTAATGCAAGTGTCTACGGCGAGTCTGGTTTCAAGAAATCACAGTTTAAGTCACCTACAACAATTATTTCCTTTCCCATTATTTCCTTTCCCATTGTGTGTAGCTTTCCACAAAACTATCCAGAAAACTTGAAACTGGACAATATAGTCAGGTTTGTATGTCACACAACCAGAATTATTGATCTCAGAAGTTGTATTTGTATCCATAACTGATGGAATTCTGATTCAGATGTCCCAGTTATGTCTTTTAGACAACTGACTTTATTAAAGAATGAGTATAGATACAAACATCTGCTCCAGTCTTTCTCATACGGTCCAGTCTTGTCAATTTATAACCTTTAGTTTCAACTTCAGCATTTGTCACTTTAGAATTCAACCAAGTCTCTGATAGTGCTAAAATGTCATAATTACCACTTTGCATGAGCTGTCGAACCTGTATGAGATGATTTCTGTTTTTTATTGATCTAACATTGAGATTGGCGACTTTGAGTTTTGACGTGTTTCCATTGAACGATTGGTTTTATATTCTTTGTTGAAACTTTCACTGTAATTAGGTTGTTGGGATCGCGTCCACTTCCTTTGTACCATTTGTTGACTGAGGGGGTTCAGGGAAAAATTATAGTTGTAATAAAAGCCCTTATACATAGGTGAAGAGATTTTCGCCTTGCGGTACTTCATCCGTCGGCTTGACTTTAGTTATTTTCCCTAATTTTTCTTTTGCATATGGTTTCCACAATTTACAGGTCACATATTTAGGCCAGAAGTTTTCTGCAAGCACTTTATCTAGTACGAACGGCAGCGCAGCAGAGGGAATATGCACCTTAGCTGATAATGTTCATAACCTCTTGCTTGGAAAGATTGTGATATAAGTTGTATTAATATATTAATACCTCTTCTCTCAAGATAAAAACGAATATCTTTCTCACTTACACTACTGGCAATTCCGGTTAAGAATAACCTTTTCGTTCTGTTATGTTTACCATTATCACCATTATCATTGGTTATTTTATTACCATTTTCTTGTAAATTTTCTACCACTTCATTGATTTCATTTTCATTAATCTCCGTGGTCTTATTGTTCATGACTGGGCTGAGTGTAACAACTTTGGCATATATTAACTGGTTTACTTTTTCAGTCTCATCATTCATTACAGTAAATTCATTTACAGTTTCAAATTTATTTTAAGGACTTAAAGCACAAACACGGCTTTGAGGGTTAGAAAACTCTATCACACAAGCTAATATTATCACCTTCCCTGTTTGTTGTCACTAGTGATTTCAATGTGGCATTCGTATGCAAATCATTCCGACTCAAATTGTTGACATTACATTCAGAGGCTTCGCTTTTTGGCGATCTCAGTAAATTAACAGAATGTCTACCGTTCTCAACCATGGAGTCTTGAAGATTCGACATTACGTCCGCCATATGCAAGACTGCATTCGACACAGTTCGTACTAACTCACTATTAATAAGCTGATCCTCTTCTGGACTCTAAATCTCATCATAGATGCTACAATTTTGTGTATTGGTAGGCAGTTCACTACAGCAACCGCCAGAAAATTCGCTCTTTTAAGCGTGCTCGTTCAACAAGTTGTCATCGGCAATACTATTTGTCTGAAAAACTCGCTGAGACAAAATAGAAACTAGCTTAGATTCCATAGATTTTGCATTAATACCAATGGAATGTAATAGTTTTTTCTTGCTCCACCAGATAATCCTCGGTAGATTATCACAATAAACGACTTTCTTATCACCACCAGGAGAATCCCATTCGCCATCTTATAGCTTTTTTCAATGATCGATATATCATAGTTGTTGTTTTGATTAGAATTAAGCGACATACTGCTTTCATCAGTTGAATAATTCGTTGTGAAGATCTTGGAAATGTACGGAGACATGAAGGCAGACAAGAGAGTGCAGAATCACACCAGAAGACTATACAATATAGTTCCGGTCTTATTCTTGGACAAGGTTTTGTAAGGATTTTTAAAGGGAAATGGTTATAGAAAATATTTCTGTTTTGTTGAAAAGAAAATTTACACTTCTTATTTGGCCTTTTTACATTAATTTTTTTTATCATCCTTACTTCGCAAGATATTGGCGATCAAAAACATCGGCTTTTTAGATATATCCGCCATATTGTTTTATAATGAGATCTAATTACGTGACGTCAAAAGCAGGGTTGACGCCTAAAAAATAACAACTACATGTTTACGCTTTAGTTTAGAACTCTTATACAATTCAAACGTTATAATTTGAGACACGTGTGACTGTAGTACCAGAAAATTCATCACTTCGCTGGATCGTTAATCTGAAGTTGCAAAACGAATTTTCACCCAGCTTATGGCATCATGCATATCAGACCAAGTATATGCATATCTAAAATGGCGGATGGATAATTTCATTCGAAAATATCTTGAGAAGTAATACAGTTAAAAATTCCTTGAACGAATTTTTTAAATAATCATGACTTTCTTTTAAAATAGAGAAAGATAATTTTTATTGCCGTCTCACTTTAAGTTGGAATATATATTTCTTCATAAAATATACAAAATTTAATATACATTACCATTGCTTGGAAAGCCCGAACCCCCTGTACCCAATTCCAATGTACATTGTTTTGTAAAGATGTGTAGATTTGATAGGAAAACAAGACCAGCCACCTAAATGAGGGACAGTTTTGTATTAGAGTAATGTCTGATGTCTGCATACATTAGAGAGATGTCTGCATTAGAGGGATGTCTGCATTAGAGAGATGTCTGTATTAGAGAGATGTCTGTATTAGAGAGATGTCTGCATTAGAGAGATGTTTGCATTAGAGAGATGTCTGCATTAGAGAGATGTTTGCATTAGAGAGATGTCTGCATTAGAGAGATGTCTGTATTAGAGAGATGTCTGGATTAGAGGAATGTCTGTATTAGGAGGGAGATGTTTGCATTAGAGAGATGTCTGCATTAGAGAGATATCTGCATTAGAGAGATATCTGCATAAAAGAGATGTCTGCATTAGAGAGATGTCTGCATTAGAGAGATGTCTGGATTAGAGATATGTCTGAATAAGAGAGATGTCTGCATTAGAAAGATGTCTGGATTAGAGATATGTCTGCATAAGAGAGATGTCTGAATTAGAGAGATATCTGCATTTGAGATATGTCTGCATTAGAGATATGTCTGCATTGGAGAGATGTCTGAATTAGAGATATGTTTGTATTAATGGGATGTCTGCATTAAGAGAGAGATGTTTGCATTAGAGAAATGTTTGCATTAGAGAGATGTTTGCATTAGAGAGAGGTGTGTACTAGAAAGATGTTTGAATTAAGAGAATGTCTGAATCAGGAAGCTGTCGGTATTAGAGAGATGTCTGTATTAGCGAGGTTTCTGGGATGTGTTTTGAAAGATGCCTCTTAGAGGGTAAATCTATAGAATTAGATCTAACAACTTACATCAAAGGCCGCAGAGACGTCTTCGTAGTCTTCCCACAACGGCGCAATACCACGTTTTCTTCTCCCCCAGGGTTCCCAATAGTTGCACTTTGGGTTAGAAGACCATGTTTTGCTTCGATGCTCCCGTAGATATGGATGGACCTGAAACAGAATAAAAATACTATACATTAATATACAAAAATATCTACCAAGTGAGTTATTTAAATACTTCATGCTACCGTGTTTTGCTGCCAATTTTACAATAGTCTCAATGGTACCGTAGAGTAATCTCTCTGTTCACCTTATCCTTTGTAAACTTGTTCCCAGATTTCAAAATGTGAATGCTTTTGTCCAGGGCCACGTACGCCACACGTGATCCGGGCGAAGCCTTCAATATTAGCTTCGCTTTTTCTCCCGGTTTTAGTTCATTCTCCGCAAAACTCACCGACACCTTCAAAAGTGCGATTATGGAAAAATTATACGCTGAAGTTTATACCTTAAAGTGATCTGATGTTGTACAGAACTCATGTGAGCAAAGTTTAGTCTATCATGTGTTCTCTCTCAGTTGACTGAGTTAAGCATGTTTAGATCATGCAGATGTAGTACATGTGTTTGAATAAGAGCCACCTTAAAGTGATCTGATGTTGTACAGAACTCATGTGAGTAAAGTCAAGACTCTCCTATGTCCTCTCTCAGTTGACTGAGTTAAGCATGGTTAGATCATGCAGAGGTAGCCCATGTCCTTTAATGTGAACTATATTTAAAACGGAGTCTCTGTATAAAAGCCGACCACTGGATCTGAGCTTGAAAAATAGATTTCTTTTATATTTTTACCGTCGATACTGTTATCTATCCGGACTAAGAAAGTTTATCTATGTATATTTGACCGCCATTCATCTATATATATTTGACCGTTATTTTATTTTTATTATCATTTGTTACATAGCAGTAAGTTTTGAGTTGGTTAAAACCAAATATAGCTTCTAATAATTTATACTATATTCATTAACAATGGTTACGACAATTTAACCAACTGAATAACATTTATTCATTTAAATGGATACTTTGCTGAAACCTGTTCGTTTGGACTTCGATCCTAACTTTCCATCTGCAGCTAAGGAATGGAAGCATTGGCATAAAACAATTTCGTGTGGCAGCAATTCTTTGGATATGTATAGAACTCAGTTAATTATGTATCCCACAATGTGTTATTGTGTATGAATATATTGAGGTCTGTGAAGATTACGATTCAGCGGTTGAGGTATTAAATCAATTGTTTATTAAAACGCCAAACGAAATTCTTGTCCGATACTTGCTCGCAACAAGGAAACAAAGCCAGGCGAAATGCTTGTTGAATTTATTCAAGAGCTTCGTAGATTAAGTAAAGATTGTAATCTTAAGAGTGTTACTGCCGAACAGTTTGGCGAGTATTACTGTCTTCTGCATTAATTCGTCAGTGACTTTTGGAGAACAGTAAACTAGATTTGAAATCTGCTTTTGATCAGGCTAATGCACTGGATTTGGCGCAAAAGAGTGCTGAAACATATGTGGCACCCAATATTCCTACTGCAGCAGCAGTAGCAGCAGTCCCTTCAGCCGACGAGCTGGTAGGAGCTCATGCATTAGATGATCTCCACTTGCTGGAACTTTCACAGCGAAAATATGTTATTTTTGTGGACATTCAATTCATAGCAGGAAAAGCTGCCCTGTTCGAAATTGTGTGTGTGAAAATTGCGGAAAAAAGGGACACTATGCAAAAGGCTGTAAGTCAAAAGGTACAACAAATAGCCTCACAGCTTCAATGTTTTCACTCAGTTCAATTGTTGCGGCTTGCCCAGAATCGCTGAAGCAAGCATCTGTTATGGTCTCTGCTAATGGAAAAAGGTTGACAGCACTTTTTGACTCAGGAAGTTCTAACCGGTATTATCCGTGAGGAACTGGTGAATCACCTAGGTCTTCATATCCACTCATCAACTGAAAATGTAACTATATGGCCCTTAGTTCCCTAACGTCGCGTGTTGCTGGTCATTGCTTTGCTGATATTCATCTTGAAGAATATGTATAACCATTTTTCTACTATGCAATGTAGATACCTAATTTCTGGAATAAGATAAACCTTTGACACAGGTTACAACATTTCCACTGGATTCCAGTGCTTTGACTGCATTCAACAATCTCAAACATGGGAAAGCAGCCCTCTCCCATATAGATGAGAACCTTCCTTTTGTTGTTGAATATGATGCATTTGAAGTCGCTCTTTCAGCTACACTTAACCTTAACCGAGCTGGTCGACTAGTGGCAATTATGACAAGAATGCATCACGCAGCGAATATGCGGTATCCTGCAGTCGAGAAAGAGGCTATGGCGATTGTGGACACACTTAGGAAGTGGCAGCACTCCCCAGTGGCGTTTATGTTCGACAGCAGGAAGCGTACAAAGTTTAAGAATAGTGATCCAGTCTTTGCGACTCGAGCTTCGGCTTTTCAGCTACTCTATCGAGTGTCGTCCTGGGAAGGACAACGTTGGTCCTTCACGTTTCTATGAGAAATGCGGGAAGTGACAATTTCCGGGGTTTTTCGTATGTCCGCATGATACAAAAAATCCATTAATGCACGAATCTCCAGCTTTTGTGTAATTACTTTCGCTGTCATTGCTTAAAATATTATATTCAGTTAAAAAGGTATTCTTAAATGTTCCATGTTCGAATATAAATTATGTTTAATAAAAAACCGTTATTAGTATTATTATGATCTATCCATTTTGCTATCATCGAGTTTACTTAATTTGCATTAATCTCAAGCTTTTTAATGAGCAGTATTTAAAAACTATTTTAAGGAAATAATCTTAATGCCAGTCCACGAGAATACGTACAAATATTGTTTGGGAGATAGATCAGACATTAAAGAACATTTCGCATGATTTGAGAATAGTGATGTTATTATACTAATTTTCGTAATTACAATGCCATAATTGAGAATTTCGCAATAGTCTAAATACTATAATTTTTTAATTTAAGGCGGCTCCCTACAATTTTAAGAATATTGAAAACTAATGATTTAGATTGAAATTTTTGGCAGGAAATTTCTTGCTAAACGAAATGAAATTTTCCAGATATATTAACCAACATTCTAACAGTCGAATTGTCTCTGAGTATCACATCATTACCGTCGTTATGGTAACAATGGCGATTCAATATGGCTGTCATTTTACTTATTCACGCAGTTTGCTCCAAAACAAGTTCGGTTACCCCAATTTTTTATTTTATAAAAAGTTCTCTTGCAAAAAAATGGGAAATTTGAGCAAGTTTAAAAAAATTCTATAGAGCCAAAAAACTTCTATAACGAAAAATCACGTTTTTTAATTTTTAATAATTTTCGCTCTCTTTAGTGTATCCTAGAAACACCAACCTAGAAACTCCAGCTTCAACCAAAATAAGTAGTTTTGATTGTAGAAAAAGGGAGAAAAAACGGAATGTCATCCAGGTCTCGGCAACCTCAAAAATGAGCATATTTGATCAATTTGGGTCGGTGGACAAAAATTCGAGTAACGGCTGTAAAAAACACTTCACGACGGTTCTAACTCAGGTTTCTTAGTCAGGATAGATTAGAGTATCGACGAAAATCTATTTTTGAAGCTCATATCCAGTGGTCGACTTTCACAGAGACTCCCACCCAAGTGACCTGATGTTGTACAGACCAGCTCGTGCGCATAGAGGGAAGCGTTTCCGATTCGGTCAGTATCTACCAGGAGTTCTTACGAATCGCTTCTTACCTGATTTTCCAGTTTATCTTCTACATCAAACTCCACACTATCAGCAACAACTTCCTTGTCTTCTCTCACGTAATACACCATAACCCGACACGAAGGCATCATTTCCATTGTCACTGGGAATTCGATATCGAATTTCTTAACCAGTGGTCTCGTATTCAATTTTTTAAGTCGGTCAGGCGCGTCTCTCAAGGAAGGACCAACGCTGAGCATTTCTTTTACAACGGTCGGGAAGGCACCGTTGTTGGCATTACTGGTTGTTAATGCAGCAGTAGTGGTTGTACTAGCTGTGGTAGTTGTTTCCTCGACCAGGGTAAAATTATGGTGACGTGTTTTTTTTCCAATTTTCACAAATTTGCCCTTACACATAACCTAACAGTTTAAAAAACCAAAAGTTAAAATTTAATTTTACGGCCTTAAATATGGTTTCTGCATAACATCAGATCACTTTAAAGTAGCTGTCATTCAAGAACATGTGCAAACTCTGAATGATCAAACAATATGTGAGTTGAGTTAAGCATCTGTGTTATTTCAGTTGACTGAGTTAAAGTGCTCCTACACAAAAATGAATTTCACCTCTTCGAAATCCTCGTGAAACGTAGATAACAAAAATACTAAACAAAATTGCATTTGAGGCTTTTTTAGCCGAGTAATAGCGCTTTGAAATTCAAAATATTCAAAGTTGAACGGCAAAAGATTTTCAAAACCGCGAAGCCGGGAAATTGGTAACTAATACGTCACAATAGGAACCGGTCTGGTATCTCGCTGTTCGCCGCACATTATGAACAATAGAACCTTCGCATAACTTGGCGAAAATGTCCTCAATAAGCTCAGATACGGAAAGCGATAGTTACCAAACTGACGACTCAAATTGGAATTATGCGAAGTGATCGCCAGTGCCGACGATCAAAGTACAGACGATGAATCTAGCTTTGGGCCAAATGCTGGTGAACCCGTTACCGACGAAGAATGGCTTGATAGTTATCGCGAGAAAAAAAGTCTTACGACGATCGCTTACAAGAACTTCGAAGGAGACTTGACGAAATTAAGAAATTGGATGAATGGTAAATATTTTGTTTAAGTAATGATGTAGTTGAGCGTCTTTGGTTGCGCGACAAAGTTTCGTACATGCATACAAATCTAATTTTGTCTGACAACTGTCGTTTAGAACTCTTTAGCAATGCTAAAGAGTGTCAGTGCTTTATGGAAATTGAGGAGAGCAAAGAAGCTCTGAAGAGCGAACTTGCTATACAGGAATTGGGAAAAGAAACGACACTAGCATGCATTGTCGACCTTCCTGGGTTTAGCAGTGCGTGTTTGGACAGATGGTCGCTATGTTTAATAGTGCGCACAAAGAAAAAAGAACAATATCGTCAAACGAGCACAGAAGATATTAAGTAAGCACTTCATGGCCTCATTCACAAAAAATATTTTGCTGAACAAATGTATTAAGATATGAGTCGACGAGGCTTCAGTTAACCAGTCAGCTGCGATTCGTTATTTTATGGTAAATGAAAATATTGGTCCATATATGACATACATGTATATTTGAAATAATCACGAAATTTATAAATTTGTAGATTCTATCGAAGTACAGCATATAGAAGTTTCATAGGTTAGGTTTTTGGGCACCTTGGCAATTGAAGATACCCCTTACCAGCTTGTGCATATGAAGGTATAAGAGTAGAATTCCTCCAGCAAACAGGGAAGATTTTGTAGGATTTGTAAATGAAAAGGACAGCTCATAACAATTTGTTAGATATTAAAGAACAATTATTTATTTTCATTTACAGTAGAGATTGATTGCATTACTTTTTCTTTTTTTATTGGTTTTTGGGGCATTCCTTTATATTACTGTGTCCCTTCATTAGGTTTTTGCACACCGAACATCTATATGGTGCCCTTGTTTTGCCAGAGGCTGCTTTTGCTGCTGCTTCTTGAGCAAGAACAACTGAAACTAGAAATAAGACAACTTATATAATTAAGAATTAAAAAACGAGTCGCGTGCCTTTATGCTGTAATAATGCACGATGCTTGCTCTTGCTTTTTTATTGCAAGCTCTTTGCACCCTTTCTTCTGAAACATAGTGTTCATAGGGGCAGGTAGCATCTCTTTTAAATCCTTTCTTGCATTCTTGAGTGAATTTTTGGATGATGCTTTCAAAAACGTTTGGTATATTTCCTCAATATAGTCTAAAGAGAAATTCATTCAATCCAATTATATAATATTCTCCTAATGATTATTTGCAATATTAGAGGCATATCACACAGTCCACCACTCATTTTCATACCAAAGTTTTGATCTACTTTTGTTTCTCGCACTGTAGCATCACCATCTTTAAATTTGGGGTAGGATACCTTCACTTGTTGTGTGCCATCTTTTTTAGTTCTCACTTTTCGAGACAGGTTGGCATTAAAATGAACTGTTACCAGGATGTGTCTGCGTGTGGAGAATATTTAGCGAAACAACTACACAGCAAAAAATGAATTTCTTAAGAAATTGAATTTTCTTGTTTTAAGAAAATATTTTCTTGTTTCAAGAAATAATTTTCTTATTTTGAGAAAATATTTTCTTAAGATTTTTTTCTTCTTAATTTGAGAAAACATTTTCTTGAAATAAGAAAATTATTTCTCGAGAAAATATCAGAGATATCACTTTCTTATTATAAGAAAATGTTTTTCTTAAAATGAGAAATTGTTTTCTTAAGAAAATATTGAGATGTTAATTTCTTGTTATAAGAAATATATATTCTTAAACTAAGAAAATGCTCTTCGCAATAAATTTGAAGAATTTCAGCTGAGAGTAAACTTCAAAATTACTTGTGTTTCAAATGTTCCTTATTGTTGAAGTTTGTTGATTTCAAAAAGTTATATGGTTCATATTTTATTGTTTTTCGTTTTGATCATTAGATGATTTTATCAACTTAGCTAATTATCAGTATGAGTAAAGTGCCCTAGTCAACAATGGCGTGACATATTCGGTCAAGAAGTTGTTAAAATAGAACAAAGTCATAATATAATGTTTGCAAAATGCTGTTTTCATTTACAGAAATCCAGCGTGAGATAATTCAAAGGTTTAATTCTTATTATATGGTCCAGCCTGACGCAGAGCCTGATTATTCCATTTATCCCATTATGCCTTTCGAGCGTAGACCGCGAGGGAAATTTGAATACTTAACGAAACAACCTATAACGCTATTAACGCGTATTAAAGAAATATTGTTTTTATGGCGGGTAAGGCATTTGTATCTTGTTATTAACTTTATATATTACCGATAAAGATATGGACGTTTAGGATGTGAGAAAACATACACTATATCGGCGCAAATTTGTGGTATTTCATAAGGTGAGTTGATGTTTCACGATGTCATATGCCAACATGCTGATCGAGTGTGTTATTATATACAACGTATAAGCCTTTATTTCTTAGCCTTCGTTAGCCTTTATTCCACCCTATTATAGATCAAGAATTGTATTTAGGTCTTTCTTCATCGTTTAATGATTTGCGCTATGATTTTCCATGTTATTATCTGTTTATATAGTCAAATAGTTGGCTATAGCAGGGATAGCTAAACAATACCATAGAATTCCTCAGCAATTATGGCCTAGAATACCTCAGAGGAGCAACATAGAATAGTCCAATGTTGTGATATATATAACCTAGGAGCAGCAAATGGCAGTGTTTCTAATGTCTTTGTTTGAAATGTAGGATTAGAGTTGAGTTGTATTTTCAGATTGATACTAAATCCAGAGGGGTTATTAAATGTAACAGTGCTTCTCCACAGTAGGGTTGCGACTGTTCCAAAGGGTATAAATTGTGCATCAGAGTCTGCCTATATCATTAAAATTATCACAAAGCTCTCTATTTTGCCTTCAGATACATTTATCCATACATATTTTGTTAGGGACAATTTTTGGATTTAACACCATTTGATTTCATTGGATAAGGCCTCTATCTATATATTGTTTGAATTAATTACATGCAGTTTCATGGTGAATTGATTGGAATTTAAACTCTCATAGGGAGGTAGAAAAGCAGTGCAGAATGGGTTGAAGGATGGGTGTATTTGATAATGGTCTTAAAGTAGTTTTCTTAAAGATGCCGGTATTGCAAGCGATAGCTAAAGAATAGCTTAAAATTCCCCAGAGTAGCTAAATTATCATTTACCAGTATTTTTTGTTTGATGTACTCAATTCCTAACATGATTGCAAAGTTTTATTTTAAGTTAAGTGGGAACTGAGGATTTAATTATAATTGATATTTAAAAACATGTCAAATAAACACTGGACAAATACAAAACCTTCAAAGCCTGGGTGCAATATTATATATAATCATTTCTCTGTATTTCTAAATAATCATGTAGGGCCTATAATTCTCATGTATTAATGTCTGCTGTGTATTCTATATTATGACTTATGAATATTTTAGTAAATTTACATTACATTCTTACTTATAACAAAATATCATGTCAGAGTTTCTAGGGTTTCTTGAGAATTAACTTTTCTTATTATAAGAAAATATTTTCTTGGAAATATTTCTTATATTAAGAAAAATTTCTTAAGAAAATTTTTCTCATTATGAACATTCTATAAGAAATTTTGGACTAATTTCAAGAAAATTTTCTTAAACTGAGAAATTATTTGTGTGCAACTTTTCTTATTTTGAGAAAATTTTCTTAAGAAAAAAATTCTTAAGAAAAAAAGTAAGAAAATTTTCTTATTATTCTCCCAAGAAAATTTGAACTCATTTTAAGAAAATTTTCTTAAAATGAGTTTTTTTTTCTTGAAATAAGAAAATGATTTTTTGCTGTGTAACTACAACACTCACTATTACTGATTATAGACCATTTAGTGAAACATACCTGCAAACCCTCTAAACAACTTGTTTGGTTCAATGGTGAGGCTTGTTTAATTCCGTTCACAAATGAAGTTTTCAGCACTGCACCACTTAGCTTGTTGTATGCTGGAGAGTCTATAAAAAGGGAGAAGCAAGAGTAAAGTCATGTAAGCATACATACATATAAGTGCATCACACAATGTTATATATACCAGGTAGCATCCACTTTCTTGGTGTCAGTTCACCATGAGCACACTGTTATATAGTGGATCATCCAATCCATCATGCTTGTCAACTATATAACTCAGGAATGATTTGAATTTTGCAAACATGATTCTACCATTTCCAGAATGTGTGGAGGTGGCACACCAATAGAGATGATTAATTCCTCTCCATCTGTTTCCTTTGCCAACTTAGTAAAAACCTCGTGCAACTCTACAATAGATACCATGGATATACATTATACATTTTCAGATTTGGCCATCGACTTGATTAAATAACACTGAACTCACTCTTTTTCAAGTGCCATATGTCAAAATATCCTCTTAGAAAGTTTCTATCTCATGTATTTGAGACAAATGTTGAAACAACAATACCTTCGCCCAGGAGAAAATTCATACAACTCTGGAATCCTTCAAATTCCATGGCAGCTGCTTCCTACTTCATTTCGCTATTGGCCAAAGAAAAACAATGTTTTTGTATATCTATGTATAGAAAGAACTATGTAGGTATAGTATAGTGGTTTTGAAACAAAAGGAAAAAATCACACAAAAACTTTAATATTTATTACCTGTATCAAACTAAAATCAATTATTTCATTTGAGGTGCCATGAAAAAATTGTGTAACTACAATATTTTGCACAATGGCCTATGCTGTCATGTCTTTCATCACCAGAAATAACCAAAGAAGATTCCATAAACATATTGATGACCTTGGTGGGAGATCCTCCGGACACTAAAATATCTTCTTCCAGGACTAGTGAAAGTCCTTCTTCCGAATGGAATTCTCCTGTACTCGAAATGCTATCCATTTCATCATCTGTGCATTCAGCAGTGGATTTCGTGTCAGTACCGGTTGGAATGCCACATGGTAGCATTTCAGCATCCTTACGACCACACTCTGCTTCGCTTATAATCTTACACTGCACACCTAAATAAATGCGTAATTGTAGGAACCATTTGACTATTAAGACATCGCGAGTTTTCCCTAGAGCGCATGGATTCTTTTGCTTTTTTATCCTATATAGCAATAATGCCATTAATTATACTGCTTCTCTTAACTTTACCTTAAAAATGCATAAAAAGGTCTGTCTTATATATTTTTTAAAAAACTGTAAAGCGGTATATAGCACTGAAACACCTAGCTGGCAAATTGTGTATGCTGAAATATTATATGGGTTTTCCCTGCAGTGCGTACAATACCTTTGGAACGTTTCGCTTTAGCCATTTCATCATATTTCTGGCTTTAAGCGTGACATATTTGTTCCACGTTTTCCTCTTTTCCTTTAGCAAGTAAGCACGTCCAACGCAACCACCTGTCTCTGTCGAAACACTGTTTTTCTATAAGAGTAGAAAGTCTGTTTCAGAGACGCAAGTCACGCAACAATGTAAACACAATGAGGACAATGTCCTTCCGTGTTTTCTATAATCGATTCACGCTCAGTTCAGTTGTTACGCAAATTATTTCAGTATGATATGAATAAATATGAATTGTTCGCGTACATTGCCTCGAAGCATCACTAAAGATTGCCTCGACAATCATAGCTCCATCTTTGACCTATATTTTCAATCTTTTAATCAAAACAGGAATCTTTGTAGATGACTGGAAGATTGCACGAGTAACACCTATTCACAAATCAGACGATAGACGTAAATGTTAGAATTATCGAGCAACTTCTATTTTATCTGTAGTAAGATCTTTGAGAAAACAGTATTTGAACAACTATATTATTATTTAATTGATAACAATCTTTTGTCTGGGTATCAATCAGGTTTTCGACCAAAACATTCACGTTATTGAAAATAGAAATATTCGATCTAAAAGCCAGCCTCCATAAGCATAGCCTATATTGAAACCATCAAGAAATAAAAATCCCACAGCAATATAATCACAAATCATATAATATAAATGCAACGAAAGAGTATTTACCATTCTTTTGTCCCTCGCAGAAGTAGGTTTGCATTCCGGCGACGCAACTTTGGAATTGCAACTATCCCAATTTCAACGGTGGCTAACCTTGGTACTTTGCCGAAGATACTAGAAAAAATTTCCGTAAAATCTTCCTTGGCAAAGTGAACCGAACAAATACTTAAACTGGGAGTTGGATCCCATTTGGCTCGTTTCAAGCGCACGAGGTCTATCTTTTGCTTGCGTCTCTTTTTAGTTTCTGGCCTTTCGTCGCCAGAAAACGGTATAAAATGCAGCGAGATTCCTTTTCCCGCATTGGATACATTAGAGCAACCACCTACAATACATATACTCGGCATATTTTCAATTTGCGTGCATTTTTTGCGCTGTCGCCTTCAGTGAATAATACACGTTATAATGTTTTTCGCATGAATGACCTAGACCGGTTCCTATTGTGACATCACAACATCGATTTCGCACCAATCCCTTTTGCGCGGTTTTTATTTTATTACATCGCAAATACCATGTTTAAACGGGAATAACTTCTAAACTAAAATCGCTATTGCGATTCGGTTTTCGAATATCATATATACTGCCAATGAGAATCTAAATGTCTAAAATCCATTTTTGTGTTAGGAGCACTTTAAGCATGGTTAGATCACGCACAGTTATTACATGTTCTAGAATGAGAGCTACTTTGAGTGATCTGAACCTGTACAGAGCTCATGTGAGTCGAGTTAAGTCTCTCCTGTGTTCTCTCTCAGTTGTCTGAGTTGAGCGTGGTTAGATCATGCAAAGGTAGGATATGTTCTTGAATGATCTAATGTTGTACAGAATATATGCGAGACGAGTTAAGTCTCTGCTTTGTTCTCTTCCTATTTTATGCTGTGTGTTTTTTATTTTCCGAGCTCTGTAACCTGAAACCGCTACTTACAGTGTAATAAAAATCTACTTTCTTGCCAGTGTCCTTATGAGCTGTGTATCGTACTGTCAATGAAGCTTCGTTGCCAATCTATATAATATGAAAATCGTTTCAAGCAAATGATATTTACACTGGTAAACGACAAGATCTACTAGATATCTGATAGTTTTTGTGATGATCGTCCTTACCATAGCTGGAGTCTTCTTCTTAAGTATTTCAAGGTAACTGAAGCTTGGAGAATACAAAGGTGCGCTTAAAAACCTCTTTTGCGTATTAGCGTAGTAGCGATGGTGTTTACCGTACACTACATAAGAATTTTCGCCTAAAAGTCTCGCCTAGAAAAACATAGAGATCAGGTCATCGATAAACAGCTAACCGGTTGTTTACCAGTAGCGGCGTTAATGGGGGAGGGTGGGGAAAAGGCGCTGGCGGAGGCAACTAGCCCACCAACCTACTGTTCCGTGGTTCAATGGCTATACAAGCCTGATCCAAACGTCTAATTCGACGGATATATTATACATATTATACATAAGAGAAAGAAAATTTAACGTAATAATCCATCTACTCCATATTGACTGGAATTTTGCTAAAAGCAATGTTCTGTCAGAAATAATCAGATTTTTTATACCTGGAAATGCAAACTTTTCGCCACGTAAGTTTCGTCATGGATGGAATCTGTAATCAAGCCATTTCTGACAACAAATGTTTTGTCATAAAATATAGCATCTAAGTTATAATGATAGCCGTGAGAAATTGTGACGCGAACTTTGGCCCCCGTTGCGGGCGAGTCATCAGGATGTGTAACTTTAAGCTGTTTAAAAGGAAAAAATATCGCCACCTTTAAAAACTGCCAGCAAAGTACATAAGATTAGTAAAATTGTTACAATTTAGATACCCTTAAATTTTACTATAAATTGGAGCAGTTTTCAACCACTAGGAACATATTAATTAAGCTCCTTTCGTGCCCTTCTAAAATAAGAACGCGAGATGAGCTGTGTTCATCCATCACCTCTTTTTTTCAATCAAAGGAGACAGACTACACGGTTAGGGGTAACTATTATAGCTGTAAACATGAATTTTTACGTACCACATATGAGAAAGGTAGACCGGGCTTAAAATTATTTGAATTTCCATCAAATGATAGTTTAACTGAGCGCCTCGTGAAGTCTTTTGTTACAGCTTTCTTTTTTAATGTCACCCCGGTTACGGTTTCAGTAACTTGACTATCGACGACAAATTGTGATCCATCAATATTAATTATTTTATCCATATTTAATGCCTCTCGTGACATTGTAATATCTGTGCAGCCATCGATCTGAAAATATTGAAAAATTGTCAAAAAAATACGTACTATGATTTCATTGCTAGGAAAATTTCGCTGTTCTCAATGTCATCCATACAGTCCTAATCCAGAGATCAGAATGTTTCATTGTTTTTTCATTGCTTTGAAAATCTCTGTGTTGTTCATGCCATCCAGTTATAATCCAGAGATCAGAATCTTTTATTTTCTCAATTCAAAATATAAAAATCACCAAAAGAGGAATTAAAGAAGAAAAAAACACCTCCTTTGTAATGTTTTCGCATCTTGTAAAACTGGGAAACTTCCACTGCCAATACTCATAAGATGAATGTCTCAAACACAGTTGAGCAGTTAACATTCCTTTTACGTTTTTTCCGTGGGTATACCTATAAAAATACACATAGTTCATAATATAATGCAAAGGGAATCCATTAGTCCACAGCATGCCTTGGATTAAAAATTGGAAAACACGTAAAGATTCTCTAGGATTGTCTCCCATATTAAGATAACTTACTTAGCGCAAATTGAAGTTGTAAATTCTTTCTGGTCCAAAGCCATATAGGGTGGAAGTTTCATATTTACTTCGTACTTTGGTAAAACTAAGAAGAAAATGTTCTAGTTGAAATAAATACTTTTCTTCTAGAAACTGTTTATGATCAACTCATAAGACCTGCACGCAATATTTTTGCATCTGTTCTCCATACATTAGTTTTCTATTGATCATTGATGGATTAAATCAATGAATTTGTGAAATACTTATAGTTATATAAGGTTAAGACACTCAAATCAAGAACTTAGTCTAGTGGCAGACAGAAAGCTTTGCATGCAGTATTGAATACTTACGTGGTGTACCAACGAGCTAATTTACTTATTGACGTGAAATACTTAGGCTTCGGTCTAGAGAATATTTTCATCTTCTCCACTAACCATATTTTGAAACTTCAATTCTTTGTGATTCTCTTTTTTTCTAAAGGAGTTTATGTAAATGAAATTGGGATAAAACTATCTAAAATTTCCAATTTAAAGAAGTTCATTTTTTAAAATAATAATTGTGTGTTGAGACATTATTTTTAAGAGATTTTTAATTTAATTTTATTGAAAAGGCTGCATGTTTTTGAAGCTTAAGGAAGCAAGAAACTACTTACACCAACAATTACTGTGATGTCATACTGTCCTAAAACAGGCTCCTTGGATAACTGAAGTTCAAGGCTTGCAAAACCGTCCTGGAGTTCCACATTATCCCACTGGTTAATCCTTGAAGAGGAGACGCTCTATATCAAAGTATATGGTTTATATCCACTGCACAGATTTCCCTCCCAGTGTCTGTAATAGTTTAAATAAGACTAACTGCACCATACAATTTAACTCTCCTACTGTTGACTTTGATCAGTCGTTGAAATGAGGTGCTAAACTAATGTGGGAAAAGCTGACCAAAACTTTTCATTTGCCCCTAAATTATGCTAGCCTTTAAATTCAGGATGTTTTAACCCATATTTTTAGCCCAGAAACTAGGATGATTTTGCTCCATATAGTTATCTACGACTTTCAATTGTTATGGATTAAAACGTAAATTTTTTAGTTCCTCACCACACGAACGCTGTCAATCTGAAAAACAGGAAATTAAAAAACGGACTTAATAAAACAATCATCCATAATTGTGCGAATTGAGGTAATTGAGGTCAGGGGTGGATCCAGCACTAGTGCACTAATTTGCATGACACAAGAAAACGGCTGAGAATAGCAATTTTGTTTTGTAATGCAAATTAGTGCACTAGTGCTGGATCCACCCCTGATTGAGGTTTACCTTTCCTTCTTTTGGTTTGAGTTTCCTGTCAAGTACAATGATTCTCATGCGAACTTAAAAAAAGAACATGGTAATTTCAATACCTCAAAGTCATTTCACGCCTCGTTCGATCTCGGCTAAGCGGGATCATGTATTCATGTAAACAGCCCCTAAATCTGTTTATGACATGATTGGTTTAAGAATAATACAAGAACTTGATTATTCTCTTTATTCTGTTGGCCCACTGGGTGGGGTGATTGTCCGTGACGTGGAAAAGCTCATATGTTGCAAGGCCATATTTACATGCCCAAAGACCATCCTTTTTAAAGTTGGTTAAACAACTCTTACTTTTTTGTCTCGGTTTATAAATTGGCTTATCAGTTTGTATAAAAACAATATCGTCGTAACTCCTCCGTGTTACTTTCACGTTAACTTCATCCGAATTTTTAGCGCAAACATTTGCTTGAAGTTTAAAATATTCTTTACCACTTGTTACAACGTTTGCTGGAATCTAAATATAAAAGAGAATTCAAACCATTACTTCTGTTACACTTTCGTCTTTTTCATACTGCATACACCTCCTCTTTAGGTTAAATTTTGAAAGCTGAGCATTAAAGTTGAAGTTTAAAAGTGAGTTTTTTAGCTCTTAACTGGTCAGATGCCTGTGTATGGCAATGCCTGTTTTTATATAAAGTAAAAAATATACATTACATAAATTGGGAGATTTCCCCGTTCTCCTGGCTCAAAGGTACCATTCGCTGAGGCAACTAACCCAGAATTATATCTGGATTTAAGTGTAACATTCACTGCACAAGGCTTTGTTCCAAAAATTTGAACGTTGATTGTTTCATTCTGGTCAGTATAATAATGATAAGGCGTGGTGATGAGGTACTGGGTGTTCTCAAGGTCAATCGCGCTATATTTTGAGAGGAAAAGATTTTCTATAGTGTTGGAGAAATGCAGGCCGGTAAGCGGTGAGGTGTGTGGGCTTATGTGGTTCATGCAGTTGATTATTCTAGCTCAGTGTCGCTTGTATCATAGAGCAACCATAGAGATTATAAATAACACTAAAGGAGCCATAGAGGAGTCGTTTCAAACAGTAGTATATTTCGCGCCACTACACACTTGCGACGACGAAAAATAAAAACAAAACAAAAACAAAATAAAACCAAGGCGAATTTTCAACTCCGGAGTAATAAGACCCCACCAGTGGTCCCCACTCAATTCTTATCCAGGACGCCATATTGGATTTTTAAATTAGCGCTAAATCACGCGTGGCACTTCTATATTGGCCTGTGTAAGTTTGGAACTGCGAGTCTATGTTGTGTTCGTTGGTGACAACTTATCACATAAATGATCTTTAATCATTTATCTCACGTACCATAGAAAATTAAGTTAACTAGATTTATGCATGGGTAAGGCATGCAGTTGGCTCAAAAACTTGAAAGTATAGTTGAGGTATTTTGGCAGTAAAGAGCTAAAGGTTAACTACGGACTACGGATTACGAACTACGGATTACGGACTGCGGACTACGGATTACGGACTACGGATTACGGACTACGGATTACGGATTACGGAGTATGGACACAATCTTTAAAAAAAATCCAATGTTGCCTTCACTCAATAAAACATTTTGGCATTTTTTACATATTTTTTCAGGCTTTAGGTAAATAAAAGATTTTAGCAAAATTTCAGCATAGGTCACCAGACAATTTGATAACATGGTGCTATTTTCTGAAAATTAATGACGTTAGCAATAACTAGGATCCTCGTTACGCGTAGTGACTATGTCACGCAGCTAGGAATTTTATGTTTTTTTGTGCGCTTTTATAGGCTTGCTTTTTCGGCAGTGCAAACTGTTACGCAAATTATTGATTTGGAGCCGTTTTCTTTGGGACTTCCTCGAGATAACACACGATGGTTTTATGTATCAGACCACCTTTTAAACGATTTCAATTTGCACAGAGTCTTTATTCATTACTCTATGAAAGGCTATACAGCAACATTCAAACATGCAGTCGCCCATACGACGTGAACGAGAATAAACGCAACACAATGTTCATGTAAATGATATAAAAAACGGCGGTAAGCACATTCAACAAATTCCATATAGTTTTGCTATAATCCCATATCCCAGCTAGCACAATCACGTTGTATGAATTCGTTGTATTAGCGTTCGTCGAACGTTTGGATAACGTTATTTATTAACGTTGGGTAAACGTTTTTTTGTGAACTCGTAGGAACGTGGTATCAACTTTAGGATTAACGAGATTGCGAATACAGATAACTTATAGTCATCTGAGCCATTGTTCGCCAGCCTGTGAATACATGTAGATTTTATGTCACTGACATTGATTAAAACATTTCTAGCAAATTGACAAGACGGCTTCGACAAGTCGCGCTGTAACGTTAATCCTAACGTTGATACCACGTTCCTACGAGTTCACAAAAAACGTTTACTCAACGTTAATAAATAACGTTATCCAAACGTTCGACGAACGCTAATACAACGTTCATACAACGTGATTGTGCTAGGGGTATGGGATTATAGCAAAACTATATGGAATTTGTTGAATATGCTTACCGCTGTTTTTTATTTCATTTACATGAACATTGTGTTGCGTTTATTCTCGTTCACGTCGTATGGGCGACTGCATGTTTGAATGTTGCTGTATAGCCTTTCATAGAGTAATGAATAAAGACTCTGTGCAAATTGAAATCGTTTAAAAGGTGGTCTGATACATAAAACGATCGTGTTTTATCTCGAGGAAGTCCCAAATAAACCGCTCCAAATCAATAATTTGCGTAACAGTTTGCACTGCCGAAAAAGCAAGCCTATAAAAGCGCACAAAAACATAAAATTCCTAGCTGCGTGACATAGTCACTACGCGTAACGAGGATCCTAGTTATTGCTAACGTCATTAACTTTCAGAAAATAGCGCCATGTTATCAAATTGTCTGGTAACCTATGCTGAAATTTTGCTAAAATCTTTTATTTACCTAAAGCCTGAAATAATATGTAAAAAATGCCAAAATGTTTTATTGAGTGAAGGCAACATCTTCGCATTTTTTTAAAGATTGTGTCCATACTCCGTAATCCGTAGTCCGTAATCCGTAGTCCGTAATCCGTAGTCCGTAATCCGTAGTCCGTATTCCGTAATCCGTAGTCCGTAGTCCGTAGTCCGTAGTCCGTAGTCCGTAGTCCGTAGTCCGTAGTCCGTAGTCCGTAGTCCGTAGTCCGTAGTCCGTAGTCCGTAGTCCGTAGTCCGTAATCCGTAGTCCGTAGTCCGTAATCCGTAGTCCGTAGTCCGTAATCCGTAGTCCGTAATCCGTAGTTCGTAGTCCGTAATCCGTAGTCCGTAGTCCGTAATCCGTAGTCCGTAATCCGTAATCCGTAGTCCGTAGTCCGTAGTCCGTAATCCGTAGTCCGTAATCCGTGTTCCGTAGTCCGTAATCCGTAGTCCGTAGTCCGTAGTCCGTAATCCGTAGTCCGTAATCCGTACTCCGTAATCCGTAATCCGTAATCTGTAGTCCGCTACCCGCGTTTTCTACCATGCCATTGTTTTCAGATCACTGAGCTATATAATAATTCCTGGAGGACCGGCTCCTAATGTTTTTTTCTCAAAAAGTGAAGCAAGAAACATGGCGGATTTTTCGTGCTGACGCCAGATATGGTCCCACTGGGCAATAGTAATGACCACTGACACGGCTCAATATTGGGCCCGCTCCAACATTCACTCCCCCCTGCATATTTTTTGAAAACACTTCAGTTTTGCCAAGTTCGGGATTTTATCCCGAGATCTCGGGATTTTTTGAAGCATTTGGGATTTTTTTGGGATTTATTTCTCAAATGGTAATCTCGGGATTTTTTTAGGGATTTTTGGGAAAGGGAAGTTTGGAATTTGGGAAAAGAAGTTTTCGTTAAATTGACAGAAAAACATATTAAAAATCCAAGGTTCGTCCGCTTGTACTTAAAATACTTACTCAAAGTCACTCAATAAAGACTATTTGTACAATCGGTTATGCAGAGAAGTACCGCTTTATAAACGCACACTGAGCGGACTGGGTACTAGGGTGCACCACGGCTGAGAACTGGGGTCGAAATTAGAATCTCGGGATTTTAGTGGAAATCTCGGGATATTTCAGGCGCTTACTTGGGATTTTTACAAAATTATAGTTGGCAACACTGAAACACTTAGCGGTAAATTGTTTTCGTTATGAATTTTTATTTTTCGACCTTTTTTCTACTATTTGTTAATTTCATTTTAAGATCTACACACCTGACACGTACTTGTCGTGCTTTAAATGTGGCATACGATTACTAAAAGCTGAAAATTTTCAGTAAATAATGGTGATATTTGAAAACATTGGCGAACTAAAATCTCGAAAGTATTTGAATATGAAGTTTTCATATCATATTTTAAGAAAACGGAAATTATTTACGTTTTATAGGTATGCTTGGTTGGCTTAAGTCGTATTACATATTCACCATTTATGATATGAGACAGAGTATTAACTATAAACTACAGTTTGACTTTGTATGTGGGAATCAGTTCATTGTCATTGTGCTCACTCAGTCTTTCACTAGCTGGTTGAAAATCTCATGCTATATCATAGTGCTATATATGTGGAAAAAAAAATTATAATGAATATCACTTAGCCAAAGGGCAGCTGATTCTGAATTGAAAAAGGGCAGCTGATTTGAACAGGTCCAAGATTGCCAAACTACCTGAATAACCTGATCAAAAAACACAGGAATATTTTCCCCATTTGTCCTTTATATTTACCTTGGCTTTTTGCCAGCTTTTAAAACATAACTGACCAGTCTAGCAGTAAGCTTTGACAATATGAAAAATCAAATTATAAAGCATAAAAAACTGAGCAGATGTATGTAAGTTCGACTATGTTTCACATTAATTAGTGACCAAGGATCACCAAGCAGATTTTGCATCTTGTGTGTTTTAATTTTAATAGTTTGAATCCTGGGTTTGCATGAAAATGGTGATAACTCAGAGCTTTGTTTTGTATTTTAACCATAGGTATGCTGGTAGAGGATTTTTGGGAACAACACTTTTACTTTTGACCTAAGCAATTAGTATGTGGACTGCATCTGCTTTTGAAATGTTAGAAATTGAGAAAGAACTGAATAAAAATAGTGATATATTAACATTACTTTGCATTATTATAGACCATATAGGGTCTATCATAGTCATAATTGGTAATTTTGTATTATGTGTATTGTGTGTAGTTTTTGCCTAGATGGAAAGTAGGCAAAAATTTATTTTCCCACAATTGACATATAAATCAAGCATTCTTCTACTGTTTGACTCAGTTAAAATAGTCTCATACTCTCAAAAAATGGCAGTTTATAACACCTCTTTTGGACATGTCTAAATTAATAAACAACTATTCAGCTTGATGGCATAGATACAGATGGATACAAGGTTTAATAATAATAAAATGATATTAAACAATGCCCAGGCAAGTGCAAGGATCTGGCAAATAAATTTAAAATATATAATTTAGGACAAGAAATCCAAAGGATTGCAAAAACAACTCTACTTATAAATTCCATATGAGAAACAATTTATAAAACTATAAGCGTGAATCTCAATTCATTTTCTATAAGAGCTGTCAAAAATGCCATCGATGAAACTTCAGAAGTAAATATGAATCGGCTTTACAGTATATGAGTCGATATTCATCCCTTCTGGAGACTAATTGCATCAACTCACTGCAAAAAGAGTCAATTGCTTTTAAAGGTCGAAAAAATTGTAGAAAATAGTCGGATTCGTTTGAAAAAAAAACAAAAAACAAAAAATATTTTTCGAAGGCAGCCGGAGGGCGAAGGAGTGCGCCTGAAGCAATGTATCGCGGTTGTCAGTGGTCATTACCATTGCCCAGTGGGACCATATCTGGCGTCAGCACGAAAAAATCCGCCATGTTTCTTGCTTCACTTTTTTGACAGGAGCCGGTCCTCCAGGAATTATTATATAGCTCAGTGTTTCAGATATGCATATACATCAACATTAATATAAGAGATTTTCTACAATTACAAGATGTCTCTAGGGCTTGTCAACAGGCGCGCGGAACCCGTCAAAATTCTACACTTCAAATATTTGTTATATACTCGCAACCCTGGCATTCTAAACTAAAATTCCTATTTAATTGTACACGTCCATTATTCTTGTCTTACCCTTGTTAAATTGTGCTAAACTTAAAATAATCATGCTTTCTAAATTTATTGATATTTCCCGTACGCATATATTTCTTAATCCCATTTAACAAGTTCATTTCTTGGTTCCAAACTTCAGATATATTGGGTAATGTTAAAAATCCGTCTTCCTTTCGAACCACGCGACTTCACGCTGCGCGCTTTTTCGTCTAAACGAACGTGTTAACGCACAACTCGAGAGTGGGAGAGTAACTTTAACAATGCATGATGACGTCAGAATATGCGACCTTCCACGGGAAAACATAAAACGATCTGTCATAACGATTTTA